ATTCTCCTGCCTCAGCCTCCTGAGTAGCTGGGATTACAGGCACACACTACCACGCCCAGCTAATCTTTTGTATTTTTAGTAGAGACGGGGTTTCATCGTGTTAGCCAGGATAGTCTCGATCTCCTAACATCATGATCTGCCCACCTCGGCCTCCCAGATAGCTGGGATTACAGGTGTGAGCCACTACGCCTGGCCCTTTTTTCTTTTTTTTAATAGAGATGGAGTTTCACTATGTTGCCCAGGCTGGTCTTGAACTCCTGGTGTCAAGCAGCCCTCCCACCTCAGCCTCCCAAAGTGCTGTGATTACAGGCGCCAGCCGTTGCCCCCAGCCTCCACACTCTTAAAGAACCAGAAAACCAGTGGTCCTCCCTTCTCAAGAAAACAGGACTTGGCCAGGTGCAATGTAATTCCAGTATTTTGGGAGGCCAAGGTGAGAGGATCACTTAAGCTCGGGAGTTCGAGACCAGCCTGGGAAACACAGCAAGACTCCATCTCTACAAAGAAAAAAAAGAGGCTGGGTGCAATGGCCCACCCCTGTAATCCCACACTTTGGGAGGCCGAGGCGGATGGATCACAAGGTCAGGAGATCAAGACCATCCTGGCCAGTGCGGTGAAACCCCATCTCTACTAAAAATACAAAAATGGCCAGGCACGGTGGCTCACAGCTCTAATTCCAGCACTTTGGGAGGCCGAGGCAGGCGAATCACAAGGTCAAGAGATCGAGACCATCCTGGCCAATGTGGTGAAAAAAATTAGCCTGGCGTGGTGGCACACACCCGTAGTCCCAGCTGCTTGGGAGGCTGATGCAGGAGAATCACTTGAACCCGGGAGGTGGAGGTTGCAGTGAGCTGAGACTGCGCCACTGCACTCCAGCCTGGGTGACAGAGCGAGACTCCGTCTGAACAACAACAAAAAAATACAAAAATTAGCTGGGTTTGGTTGTGCTTGCCTGTAATCCCAGCTACTTGGGAGTCTAAGGCATGAGAATCACTTGAACCCGGGAGGCGGAGCTTGCAGTGAGCCGAGATTGGGCCACTGCACTCCAGCCTGGGTGACAGAACGAGACTCCGTCTCAAAAAAAAAAACAAAAAAAAACCCCCACTGGGCTGAAGAATTAGACTTGTTGGTCCTGGGAGAGGAAGGGCAGTGGAACATAAAATGTTAAATCTTTAAAGGAGGAGAGGGTCTTCATAGGACTGTGAGTGTGTATGGGAGGCTGCAAGCTCCTGGATCCCTGAAGGAGACCTATAGCTTCCTCAGCCTTCTGGAGGTAGGGGCATGGTTCTGAGCGGGGAGGGCCTGGGGCCTGGTCTCCTGGATCTGAGGGAGGAGGGAGGTGGGGTCTGGACTCGTGGGTCTGAGGGAGGAGGGTCAGGGGCCTGGACTCCTGGGTCTGAGGAAGGAAGGGGTGGGGCCTGGACTCCTGGTCTGAGGGAGGAGGGGCTGGGAGCCTGGACTTCTGGGTCTGAGGGAGGAGGGGCTGGAGCCCCGGACTCCTGGATCTGGGGTCAGTGGGCACTGGGGACCTGGACTCGTAGGTCCTGACTCCCAGCCTCCTCCTCAGGAGCGCCTGGACCATGCTGCTGAGCGCCTACTGGCACAGCCTCCACCCAGGATTCTACCTGAGCTTCCTGATCATCCCTCTGTGCCTGGCTGCTGAGGGCCGGCTGGTGTCAGCCTTGCGGGGGCGGCTAAGCCCAGGGGGCAAGAAGGCCTGGGACTGGGTGCACTGGTTCCTGAAGATGTGCACCTATGACTACATGTGCATGGGCTTCGTGCTGCTCTCCTTGGCCAATGCGCTTCGGTACTGGGCCTCCTTCTACTTCTGTATCCACTTCCTGACCCTGGCAGCCCTGGGGCTGGGGCTGGTTTTGGGTGGAGGCAGCCCCAGCCGGCGGAAGGCAGCATCCCATCCCACCAGCCTTGCCCCGGAGAAGCTCCGGGAGGAGTAAGCTCCATGACGCTCCGTCTGCCAGCTGGTCCCGGGAATTCTGTGAACCAGGCCGCTGTCTCTTCCCTAGAAAGAGTCCTTACCTTGGAGAGGGTCCTGGAGAGAATTTCCTTTTCCCCAGCTAAATACTCTGCCTGCAACTGAAGCAGACCTGGGGGTGTCCTCCCTGCCCTCCGCCCAGGGACCACCTCCACTCCTACAAAATCAAAGTTTTGTCCAGACAAGAGTGTCCTGGGCCCCTGCTCCAGCCTCTGGGTATCCAGAGAGCACTGCACTTCCCCAAAACGGAAGGGGCCCCTGGGCAGTGGGTTTTGGACAAATTCCCTTTCTTTGCATCCACAATGTGGGGTCAGAGCTTGGGGGCAGGTCCTGGGAGTAGGAAGCCTCTTCCTTGTGTCTTTCGCTCCACTTTTAGCTCATGGCACCGATATTGCAGACTTGGAAGGAAGCATAAGCTTCCCATTTCACAAAGGGGAAACTGAGGTGCAGATGCGTGGGCCAGGGGACGGCCGTCCCATAGCTTCCATCTGAGCCACCTCGGGGCCCCAACGCTCCTGGCACCCTCTTCTCATCCCTTGGCCTATGACAAGTCACCATGTGTAAATCTTTCCCAATAAAGTGTTGCACAAAGGCATTGTGTCTGTGCAGGTATCTGGGTGATAAACGGCAGGAAGGACTTAGGCCACAAAGTCCCGGGTGAGGTACAGCTGCCCAGCCCAGGAACCAAACTGTCAGGCCTGGGGCACCAGAGGGACTTCAGCTCCCAGGAGACCTTTCGCATCAGTGGCCCTGAGAAACTACAGGAAGTGTACCTTACTCCCTCTGGGTCACCTACTGCCCAGGTACACACCTGCCCCTGGCCCCTCCCTTACCTGGGGCAGTGTTTGCCTGGTGGCCACTAGAAACAGCCCAGCCTGGGGCCATGGAAGAAAA